GCTATATTCTTTAGATAAGCCGTTAAATTGGCTAGTGTGAATTATAAGACTTTTATAGTAAAAAGACAAAACTTCATTGTTTTTTATTTCTGTTTCATTGGAAGTGAATAACTTATTTGATCCGCAAATGTGCAGTGTTTTCATTGACTTTGTAAGGGTTCTTTATAAGGGTTTTCAATGTTTTAATAAATACTATAATTTGGTTTTTCTAAGTACAGTACTTGTAACAATACCTTTTTTGAAAATTTAAAACTATAAAAAAATACAGTAATCGTTATTATTTTATTATATAATTTAATATTATAATAGAATTAACTTTGAACTTTGAAATGTATGTTTTAACCAATTATTTATGGTTGTCAAAAAATAGGCCAAAATAGCAATAAATATAGGCAGAGGAAAGAGAACGCTATACTTTATAGAGAACCTACATAGCTTTTTCGTAATGATTAGTGAAGTCGCACTTCAACCATAACCATAAGCTATACAAACGCGTACGCTCTGCCTTTTGTAATGCCAGGACCATCATTTGATATGGTTCATCAAGATTTTGTTTGTTTGTTTGAATGGGCTGTCAATGTTTATAGAAAAATATATTTATGATAATCTGTATTTATTCAGGTCTGTTGTACAATTCACAAACCTTGTAGTAATATGTGCTTCGTCTGATATTGCACCTACAGTGTTTGCTATATTTCATATTAATAAACATGTTACGCTAAATATCAATATGCATTAATTTTAATCTTAACTTTAGAAATGTATTAGTATAAATTAATGTTTCACGACAGTGCAGTCACTTCATATAATGCATAGCTCCGCCATGTGCCTGAATAATTATGCACACAGTACTTTTTTTAGCCAATTCATTATTTTATGATCAAGGAAATTTTTGTTGAATTTTTACATTGTCCTTTGACACTTCTTACTTATGTCAATATGTATAAAACTCCATAAGCTTTTATGATGGTCCATTCATTTGTTTTTGCGTAATCATGCTAACAAACAGACAATATTGGCCGTATTCGATGGTCGTTCTTCGTTAAACCATGCCCACATGCGCAGTGGTAAAATCCTACTTATCGAAGATGACCAGTCGAATAGAAAACTGGTAAATACGCGACAGAACAAAATGGCTGCATAGCTGTCTCTTATACACATCTTTCTTTAGATAAGCCGTTAAATTGGCTAGTGTGAATTATAAGACTTTTATAGTAAAAAGACAAAACTTCATTGTTTTTTATTTCTGTTTCATTGGAAGTGAATAACTTATTTGATCCGCAAATGTGCAGTGTTTTCATTGACTTTGTAAGGGTTCTTTATAAGGGTTTTCAATGTTTTAATAAATACTATAATTTGGTTTTTCTAAGTACAGTACTTGTAACAATACCTTTTTTGAAAATTGAAAACTATAAAAAAAATACAGTAATCGTTATTATTTTATTATATAATTTAATATTATAATAGAATTAACTTTGAACTTTGAAATGTATGTTTTAACCAATTATTTACGGTTTTCAAAAAATACAGTACTAGGCCAAAATAGCAATAAATATAGGCAGAGGAAAGAGAACGCTATACTTTATAGAGAACGTACATAGCTTTTTCGTAATGATTAGTGAAGTCGCACTTCAACCATAATCATAAGCTATACAAACGCGTACGCTCTGCCTTTTGTAATGCCAGGACCATCATTTGATATGGTTCATCAAGATTTTGTTTGTTTGTTTGAATGGGCTGTCAATGTTTATAGAAAAATATATTTATGATAATCTGTATTTATTCAGGTCTGTTGTACAATTCACAAACCTTGTAGTAATATGTGCTTCGTCTGATATTGCACCTACAGTGTTTGCTATATTTCATATTAATAAACATGTTACGCTAAATATCAATATGCATTAATTTTAATCTTAACTTTAGAAATGTATTAGTATAAATTAATGTTTCACGACAGTGCAGTCACTTCACATAATGCATAGCTCCGCCATGTGCCTGAATAATTATACACACAGTACTTTTTTGAGCCAATTCATTATTTTATGATCAAGGAAATTTTTGTTGAATTTTTACATTGTCCTTTGACACTTCTTACTTATGTCAATATGTATAAAACTCCATAAGCTTTTATGATGGTCCATTCATTTGTTTTTGCGTAATCATGCTAACAAACAGACAATATTGGCCGTATTCGATGGTCGTTCTTCGTTAAACCATGCCCACATGCGCAGTGGTAAAATCCTACTTATCGAAGATGACCAGTCGAATAGAAAACTGGTAAATACGCGACAGAACAAAATGGCTGCATAGTGCATAACTTAACGCTGATTAACGCATGGTTACGTTAATTTTCGTTGTCAACGAAGTATATTTTACGAACCAGTGGAATGAAAATAATACTCAATGAAAATTCGTACTCAACGAAATGAACCAGTCGAATAAGCCCAATGAATACATAGCCCCCTTGGTGGATCTGAATTTTAAACGTAGGCCTTATACTTATTAACTTATACTTGTTTCCGTGTGTTTGGTTTGTGACGGAACAGCACCTCCTATTGGCGGTGTTCCTTTTTAGCAATTTTGGTACGTTTATGTTAATCAACACATGCTTTCACTTTGTTCTTATTTGTCACGTTCATTTGCTGAATTTTGTAAACTAAATAATAATCGTAAAATTATGATAAAGGTTATCGACGCTCATCAATGCATCTCTCTATGAAATTTTAAATAAAGAAAATACACCATGCAAATATCTTCACATGAATTTTGTTCTGGCTAAGTACTGGTGGATGTTCCTCTATTATATATAACACTTACAGCAGAACCCATAAAGGACCGTGTCCCCTTAATAGGGGTACCATTATTCAGGGAACACTAACCAAAAACGTACAATTGTTCCCTTGAGGGTTTTTGGCATGTTTTCATACAAAGATGACATACATTTTTTATAATTTTATTTTTATTGACATTGAATCAGTTACAGTAGAATTAGAACAAATTTATAGCAATAATTTACAATACAAGTACAATTCATTTATAATATGCAATCAGCAGTAATGTAATTAAAACAACAATACTGTAGTTCCAAATATTATTTCATGATACAATGTTGATGGTCAAATATTATTTTCCTTAAATATTGAGCTTTCTATTGGATGGAAGTAGCATGGATAGAGTAATGACTTAGAATGAGGAAGGGTGCATATTATGGTAAGGATTAGAATCCTCTATAATGTACACGAAAAACAAAGAAAAACAAATTCCCATGGTTAAGGGTTAAAATTGACAATATTTGATTCTGCTGTTGGTGGAAAAAAGTTTCCCCTTAATGGTTAGTTAACCATTTGGCGCTCTCAGAAAGTGTCCCTGTCCCCTTATTAGGGGTGTCCCCTTAATATGGGTTAGCCGTAGTGTTAAAAGATACATTTCCCCTCGTTTCACGAAAAAGCGTCCCCTTTATATAGGGGTGTCACAAAGGAGGGTTCTAATAATTTACTAGAAAGTTTAGTGTTACGCGTTCAATATATGATGGATCAAACCACCTTTTGTGCTTGGTTTTATTACTTCGGGTAGTGACGTCATGTGTATGCAGTATAAAATCAAAGCTGCTGTAAATTTCTGTAGATAGTGGTCAGACTTTGTTTGCTAACTAATTTATTTGAGAATTTTATTTATAAAAAACTAATTGAAAAGTTAGCGGCAGTCTGGTTAGTGGAACTTTTGTGTAATATTTTATCGTTGTAGATTGAAGAAATGGTTGATTTTAAGCTGTGATTTTAAACTTGAAATCGTATCTTGTGCCATGCGTTTGTAACCACAAATGTAGTAATGACTAAATTATATTATTTATTATATTGTGGTTATGATTAGCATAAATGATTAAATGGAATCGTTAATTTTGATCACCAAGACAAATGAATGTCTCAGGACATCCGTCTAGCAGGACCGGCGTTCATACAATCACGTCAGTTAGGGTGGATTAAGTTTTATGGGCTTTTGAAATGCTATTTTCTAGCGTAACATTCAGAAATATTGTATGTGGTGCTAGACATTTCTTCTGGCTATGAGTATGACCACTGCAACGGTCTGTGTGGACAGCTTCAACCGCAGGCCGTCTACTAACCATACCCACTACCGTATGCATCCCTAAACATTTCTCTTAATAATGTCCAAGCTTTACCGTCGATATTTTTCGTCCCTTTTGATTTCAAATGTTCTAACGTCTCGGAAGTAATATTGAAACATTTGTTAGTGATTTGATAAAAGAAATTTCACGTTAAAAATATAAAACTATGGTGTCGTTTACAACATACGCATTCAGCAACAACACTCGCCGAGCTGCCATCTTTGCAGTGAATTAACTCGAGCGTTCAAAAGAACAACAAAACGAGTACCGCATAATGTGACTAATCAGACGCAAAAGGTGGATTGGTTTATCAACTGAAGGATAATCGGTGGAGCTTGGGTTCGAATCGTTTTATTAGCTATTTCACTAGACAATCTCTTCCACTTAAAATAGGCATAGCTACACCAATCATTTGAAATCTTGTAGACATTAATTCATAATATATTCTTTTATTCTCTGATTAAACCGTTCATATGACTTTTCTATGACATCATAATATTATTGATATATTTGCGTAAATTTTAAACCAGGGCCTATTTTTTAATTTTTTTTTTTTTTTTTTTTTTTTTTGCTTTCAGCAAATTATAGCTGTATGATAACAGTAATTAGAATTGAATACAATTATGTAGATGGCTACTTGTTTTAGGACTTACAGACAATTGTCCACAAAACAGAAATCTACATTTAGGGAAAACACACATTACAAAAGTTTCATTTGTGTTATTTTCAAACATTATACAAAGTACATAGTAAATAGGAACAAAAACATTCGTTTTTTCAAACAATTATTAGATAAACCATACATAGATATTTAGCCTTTATTTACTTGATGGGATACATTGCATTATATTGGTCTATTTCCTTTAGGCAAACCAAAATGTTATACTGACAGATATAAATATAGGCTATCTGTATTAGTATAATAAGTCTGTTGTCCCATGTCTAAGCACCTTCACTTCACCTAGTGTTTGCTAGATTTCTTATTACTAAACGTGTACCTGTTTATATTCAAAATTAATTATTCTGTTAGTTTCCAAATTACCAACAGGTATGTAAAATTGATTCTGTTAATTTAATTTCATCATATTATAAAACATAGCAATAGTTTATTATTCCATCGGCATGTTTTTAAACAGATCTTTTGAAAAATACTAGGAAACGTGTGAAAAAGATACATATAGTATATTATAAAGTACTATAAAAGACCATGTTGATTTTAGTGAGATGAAATACTCCTTGTAGAGTGTTTTATTCTTTTCATGACAAAACGTCATCGAAGTTCATCTTTTCTATAAAATCGCGTTTACACGATGGGAAATTAGCACATGGAAAGAGCCATGGCCACATTGGCATGTCAAACTGGGACCATCCGCTATCATCACGCCCTCTCTGATGTTTAGTTATTTCATGGAGTATCTCCTGAACGACGTGGTTGTATTTGTTTACACATAGCGGTGTTGTTTCTCCAGGATCTTCATGAATGTCATACAAAAGAGGGGTTTGAAGTGTGTTCTTTCCACAACCGCGATCGCCGCTAGTAGCCACGTGTAGTTTATATTGCCCATACGTCACGGCACTTGGACCAGACATTTCACAGTAATGAAACAGCGCCTTATGTTGTGAATTGGCGTGCACGTTGCTCGCGAAGCGTAGCAAAGACTTTCCGTCCATTGGCGAATTTGTGATATTTAAAGGTAGGCCAACTATTTCCAATATTGTTGGCATTATATCCATTATTGACGTCACTTCTTTTATTGTGGAATTTTGAGGCAGTTTTCCAGGCCAACGTATGATACCCGGTACTCGGATACCACCTTCCCAATTACTCATTTTTGAGCCTCTTAGCCTGATAATTTGTCCTTTGTTGTTGGATACCGCTCCAGCAGAACCACGTTGATTAGGAGGGGCCATGTCCTTAAAAGCTGGTCCGTAAATCTGTGGCCCATTGTCAGATATAAAAATCACAACAGTTTCATTGTCTATCCCATTTTGTTGCAAACGATTAACAATTTTACCCACGCTCCAATCGATTTCTATAAGAGAGTCTTGGTAAGGACCCATGTTCGAGGAACCTTTAAAAGAGTAAGAGGGAGACACAGGTGGATGGAGTTTATTAAACGCCACATACAAGAAGAAAGGAGACTGCTTCTGATGACTTCTATCAATAAAATCCAAAGATTCTTTCGTGTACAGTAAAGTAAAATTATCATACAAATTTGCGTCGTATTGTTGAGCAAGGATATCTTTGTCACGAAAGAATACGCAGCTAGGTTTACCGAGTAGCGTAAATTTAGCAGCCATGACGTACGACACAAGAAATGCAATGAGAAAACATACTATGGTTACAAGAAACGACATCCTGGTATACAGACGAAATGGTACGGGAACAAGAATAATAATCAAAAGACAGTTCCAAATAACTTTGCTCGTTAGATAGAAGTATATTAATTTTCCCAAGTGGAGTAAAGACGGGATATTAGCAACACAAGACCGACCATGCGACACAAGTGTGCCTAGCCACGAGTCAAACCCTCTATTTACAGGCAAGAACCGTCCATTGCTTCCTATTCCAAGATGCCATTTGCCAAACATTGCCGTCGCGTAGCCACGATGTTTTAAAGCTTCAGCAATTGTTGTTTCTTCGAGAGGAAGACCTGCTTCGGAGGCCAGACTGAACAGGACATCGTGGTCATAAATGTGTCCTCTCACCAGACCATAACGGACAGGCAATCGACCTGCAAGTAAGTATAAACACCAACAATATTTATCAATCTTCGAAACAATTTAATTGATATAAATGTACATATACATAAATTTGCTGGTTAAGTCATCCTGCTCGGGGTTTTTTTTCGCACAGTATATATACTGTCTCTTATACACATCTAGATGTGTATAAGAGACAGATATTATAGAGTACTATAAAAGACCATGTTGATTTTAGTGAGATGAAATACTCCTTGTAGAGTGTTTTATTCTTTTCATGACAAAACGTCATCGAAGTTCATCTTTTCTATAAAATCGCGTTTACACGATGGGAAATTAGCACATGGAAAGAGCCATGGCCACATTGGCATGTCAAACTGGGACCATCCGCTATCATCACGCCCTCTCTGATGTTTAGTTATTTCCTTCTAGATACGCCACTGATGGAGATCAAATTATTTTTAACAATTTAATATAACAAGGAAATAAGACATTTTTATAACAATGCTTAAAAGAATGTCCTGTTGGTGACTTCTTTTATTCGTTCGTTAATTATATTCCATAATATAGATCCCTGTGTTGTAATCGTGTGTCTTGGAAGATCAGTGTGGAAATTATGACTGTTGTTGGTTGAGAATGTTTCGACGTTTCGATTGAGTTGCGTCAATCGTCTTCAGGAGAATAATACCTGCAGCAAAATTTAAAACAGGGAAATATGTTTGGGAAAACTAAACAATAACTGAGACTACGTGTGAAAAGGCTAATACAAAAGCCAGTATTATAGGCCTTACATTAATGCAGTTCAAGATGCACAAACTGCATTTTCTATCATCAACCGGTATATCGTTATAACGCTCTGTTTAAATTGCATCGGGGCGCAACCTGACCTACAGCTCGTCTATATCGTCAAGAAAGTGATTACATAAATAGCGGTACCATAACTGGATTTAAATGAACGATAAGAGCGCAGTTTATTCTGCAATCAATGAAAACGTCTTCTTTCCAGCGATTTTCTACGAACAATTTAGCTGCGCTATGAGCTTGACTTACCTAATTACAAGTATTTGTTTGTTTGTAAAATTTGTTTACAGTCCATTTTGGAGAACAGCATTTTGACTTTATGACACCAGTTTTTTACATTGTTATTTGCTAAATGTTGAGACCAGCGAAAGACTTTGCTTGGATACCGGTTTTCATACTCCACAGTATAGTTACTGACTGTATCTGACGCACTATCCCATGTCACCAAGCATCATCATTCGGAATATATTTTCCAACTCCATGGAAAAAGCGACATGCACGGTAAAAAGTTTTTCAAAGAGTATAGCAGGCCTGCTGTAGTCAGTGGCGTAACGATGGGGTCGGGGGCCCTGTGTATTTCTGAAACTGGAAGCCCTTTTTGGGTCCGCGTCACCAATTCCATCGTGGGATTTTAAATGTGCATTGTTATTCTAAATGTTTTTAACGACGAATAAATGATATAATATGGATCCAGAAAATTGAGGCCATGGAGGGACTTTCACAGTTCAGTCTATACCACCAGACCCACCATGGTTGGGGCTGAGGTAAGAAAATTTATTAATATGGCACCTTTAGATGGCTGGAAATGGCACTTCACCGACATAAAATTGTGAATATATATATTTTTTTTATTTCCAGTTAAAAAATATTTTGACAAATTTAGTGAGGCCCCGGACCGGCAGCTCCCCGCCCCCTCACTCTTTATTCCGCCACTGGATATAATATGATATGTCTTACAGTCGATTTCAGGCACACATTATGCTGTTGCCCTTGTGGGACTGAGATAAGAAAATGTATTATTATGGCACGTCTAGATGGCCGGAAATGGCACTCACAAACTTAAAATTGTGAATGTAATTTTCTTTTTATCACCATTTTTTATTTTTTATTTATTCTTTTACAAACTTAGTGGGGTCCCGGGCCGAGAGGGGCACCGTCGGGTCGACGGGGCCCCCTCTCTTTAATCGTTATAATATGATATATGCCCTACAGTCGATTTCAGAGATACATTATGGTATTATTTATCAACAAAGTCCTTTTTGGTCAGGGTGCTAGATCGTGGAACCTATGGGTAGGCCCCTTCGGGGCCCCTAGAATTCGGGGGCCCTGCGGACCGCCGCATGAGAGCGCATAGGCGTTACGCCACTGGCTGTAGTAACTTGCTTCTCCCATAAGGGTCTCATCGTGTTTGAGCTACCCGATAAAAACCGGTACCAGCTACTCTCGTCTGTCGACAACAGGGGCTGGACACTGGGATAACCCTACTCTTACGTCTCGAAAGATGTACTATTTTCTTTAAAGTGCAAATCGATCAAATTTGTCTACACTGGGCTTACGGTTTATAGTCCGTATACCGGTAAAGTGATTAAATAGATACCAGAAAGATTTCTAAAATAGGTTGTAGTGAAATTATAAGTATAGACAGTGACGAATCCAGGAATTTGAAATAGAGGGGCCCATAGACGGACTTTCACAGATGGGAGGATATATACTACCTCAGTCCTGAGGTAAGAGAATTGACACCTCTCGATGGTTGGAAAAGTTTTAGTAGAATTTTCTTTTTCTCATTTTCTGTTTTTTTCTGAACCCACCACTGATAGATTATAATATACAAAGTAGATATTTTCAGTGTCTAAACAAACAAAAAAAAACAAAAAAAAAACCTCTGAGCAGGAAAGGGGTGCTTTTCCAAATCCTTCTTTTCATTGGCGCCAAAAACCCTACGGCCTCTTACTACACGTCGAGCGTTCATCCAACATTTCCATTCAAGCCAATCCATCTCTTTTTCATCTGTCTTCCGCCAGCCCGTTCTGAGGACCTACTTCTTGCCTCCTTAGATGTCTATGTTAATTTGTGTATGTCTTCTTGGATTTGGATATTTTTCCTACAATTACCTTGTTTATGCGACTTATATTGATTATGATTATACGTAGGCCTATACTTTCAGAAAAGTGATGAATTATTATTTGTCATTTAAGATATTAGGTCTAATGTAACTATGAATGAATTAGATAACACAATTAGAGTTATATTCAGTTTTGCGTTATGTAATCATGTAATTTTTAATGATATAGACCCAAATTTAAATCATATGAAGAAGCGAAATTGGAAAAGAAACAATAATCGACTATAATATTTGATTGTGTAAACAACATTTATTTTCATAAAGTCTCATCTTTGGTTATAAAAACAATAGTTATAAATTTTAATGAAATAAATTATATTCCAAATCATTATTAATATTAATATACACAAACTTGTTTCGTTTTTAGGTGTACCATATTCAGTTCGGCTCCATACGGTTTCATACCACCCCTCAAACTTCGCTTTCTTTTACGTTACTTTATCCCGTAATTTATTCAGTTTTTTTCATACAGTACATCATTTTTCATAAGTTGATTTGAAAATTTTCTCAAATTAATTACACGCAGGTATTTATATCTGACGGAATTAAATCCCAGACTATTTCGCTTAACAATTAACATGATAGATGGGTGGTATTTTCCTGTGGAGATGTTGTAGAATTGATAACACCTCTAACATGTCGTAATGCAGAAAAGCCTGGTATAATACAAAGCATTACCGTAGACATTGTTAAGATTATAAACACTTAGGAACCTCGGATGGATAGTCGCACCTTACTGGCGTTGCATGAATGTTAAAGACAAGTCCGGGCTGACAATCTTGAGGGTAAGTTATATCATCATAACACTGGTAAAATTTATTGCAGTCTGTTGGGTGTTCGTAGTATCCATCATCCTTGCCCTTGCAAAATTGGTCGTCGATTTGTAATTTAACTCCACAGGGTCCATCCACTATTGTCGGTAGAGAACACGTGCGAATAGCCGGATTATACACGTGTCCTGCAACGCATGTGATGATTTGTGAAACATTGTCGACACACTTGTAGTACTTGTCACAATACTGATTGAATCCGTAAGAGCCACTTAGTTTTCCTGAACACAATGGGTCTTGTTGATACTGTGTTTGGTGCGTGCACTGTGGAGGTCCTGTATTCGAAGACGAGTCGCAAGTTCCGATGGCAGCATTATACACCAACCCTGGAGAACAATTTGGTCGCTTAGTAATTCCATTCATACAGCTATAATACTGAGAACAACTTGTGGTGTCCACGTAGTTCCCGTCGTGCTTTCCGACGCAGAAGCAGGAGCCCTGTGGTGTTTGACATTCCATAGCATCTGCATTGTAAGCAAGACCTGCACTGCAGACCCTAGCCGCCATGAAGCCATCTTGGCAAACAAAGTATTTGGTACAGGAGTTTGGGTACGGATACCTGCCATTAGGTCTATCAATACAGAGAGGATCTGGGGCTCTGCATTCTGGAACATTGATAATAGAGTCGCATTTCTTTGTATTATAATTGAAAACAAGATCACCATCGCATTCAAGACGACGAATGGGAACACCAAGGATGCACTCGTAGTATCCCTTGCAGTAGTTATTATCTGGGAAGTAGCCATTAGGCTCTAAACAGACAGGATGCACACCGCCATTATATTTGCAGCCAGTGAGATACTTTTCTATGTTACACGTAAATTCGATCTCATCGAAAGCCTGTCCAAGAGGACAAGCAATGTGCTTGGCTAGCCCGTATTCGCATATATAATACATGTTGCAGTTTCCAGGATCTGGGTATATTCCATCACTTTTATCCCAGCAAAATGAATCAAAGACAACCTGCGGCGCTGCACATCCCGGTACATTAGTGTGGTAATCGCATTTTTCAGTTGCCTCGTTATACACTAAACCAGCTGGGCAGATGTGATGGTAGGTGTATCCATTTGAACACTGATAAAACTTCTCGCAGTTTAATGGATCTCTGTAGAGTCCGACAGCACTCTTCGTGGAGCAAAAATCTCCGGTTTGGCCAACCTGCGAACACCGTCCAGTTGTGGGTGGATAGTCACAGAGGTCTTTTTGTACGTCGTATACCAATCCCGTTAAACATGTGCTAACAGTGCTGTAGCCACTGACGCACTGGACAAATTTACTGCAATCATTGGGATATTCGTAGTTGCCATCTGACTTATCAATGCAGTACATGTCACCACTTTGTCCTTGGTCACATTCAATTAACGAGTAAGGGAAATCACAGCGTTTGAGAACCTCGTTGTATACTAGGTTAAAGAAACAACCAGCAGTTTGTAGATTTCCCGAGGAGCAGATGAAGTATGTAGTACAGTCTGCAGGATTTTTATAGCTGCCGTCTAGTTTACCCTGACAGAATGGGTCATCGACTTGAGATGCAGTCGAGCATTCAGGGACATTGTACGGGTAATCACAGTTGCCGGTTCTTGGATTGAATACCAGACCATCTTGACACTGCCATCTGTATTCGACACCGCCTCCGCACTGAATGTATTTACCACAATTTGATGGATACAGGTAAAGTCCGTCCTGGCGGCCAGAACAAGCTCCATTGCTCTGGTCACTGCAGCCGGGAACATTAGCAGGCCAATCGCAATATCCTTTGGGATTGAAAACTAAACCATGCTGGCACTCAAGTTTGTGGGTTTGGTAGTTGCTGCAGGAGAAGTACCTTGCGCAAACAGACCAATGACTGTAAAGCCCGTTTTTCTTGTGATCACAGAACATATCCTCAGCTGTAAATAGATATTAGGCGTATTTATTAATGGAATGTCGTCATCACTCACGTCATCATTGATATCGTATGTAGCCATAGTTGGCACTATAGTATAGCTTTGTCTACACTATCAAATTTCATCAAACAAAGCGTCACATAAAATTTGATGGAACATAGAGTTGAACACGTTAACGTTTTTGATACAATTTGATGATATGTGATATGACGTCATCGTACCCATATATGGGCACATCACATTTTTTGTCACATAAAATTTGTTAGTGTAGACAAAGCTTTAGACAACATCACTGAGATAATAGTTAATTTCACTGATAACATTTCTCAAGTAATACTCACAATATTGGCAGTTCTTTCCAAACCAGGCAGAGGGACATCGGCAAGTATATGTTCCCGGACCGCTATTGATGCATATTCCTCCATGTTTACAAGGATATTTATCACACTCATTCACAGCTAAATCAAAGAATAGAAAAGAAAAATTAGATTAGAAAAATTAGGCCCTGATATAGTAATGTAAATTAATGAAGATATTTACCAGTATTATGTATGATGAAATTGGTTTTTTAACTGTAAAGGTTGGTAGATTGATTGATTGGTTGATTGATTGATTAGTTGACTTATTGATTTGTTGTATCAACTTAATGATTTATTGATTATTAATACATAGATAGACTGATTGATTGTTTGACAGATTGACTTTTACGGGAGGCTTTGCAATGTACTAACACCACTTTCACTATTTAGAATTTAAACACAAAGCTCCACGCAATGTTGTCCCGTTGACACGTTTAAAAGCTGTGTTTAGACAGCTTATTGTGCTTAGGATCTTGACGTGTTTAGAATTAAAATGCTTAGGTATTTGAAATCATGATGTAAAATACCTAAGCACATTTAATTCTAAGCACGTCAGGCACCTTTACAAACGTTAGGCCTGGCCCAAACACGTTTAGCTTTTAGACGTGTCACCGTAGACGGACAGCATTGTGTGGAGCTTTGCGTTTAAATCCTCCACGCTGTTTTTACAGTGTAGCCTAGTATGTAATATGTGGTCAAGTGAGTCTATGGCCATACGAGTGGGCACAGAATACTTTCAGAAGAGCAAAGAGTTGCGTACGCGTTTTCAGCTGTCGTTTACTTGCGTTTTCACGATGGCAGCACATGGTACGATGGGACCCTGTAAGGAGCTGAGTAGTAGGAATGAGTTTGAAAATGAATCAGGGAATGAGCTTTAAAGCTAACTTACATGTTTCACAATTCACTCCTTCGTAGCCCGGATAGCATACGCATTGGTACGAGTCGACTAAATCTTTGCATGTGGCTCCATTTTGACAAGGTTGACTGTAGCATTCATCAATTTCTGTAGCAAGAAATAACAACAGGATGTAAATTGGAACAATCTTATAGTTAACGACATGTGTATTACAGTAAAGACTTGGAACATCTTTTGAGATGATGAAGGCCTATTAGTAATGGTAATAATAATAATAATAATAATAATAATAATAATAATAATAATAATAATAATAATAATAATAATAATAATAATAATAATAATAATAAAAAATATGATGTTACCTTGATCGCATGTTAATCCATTATAGCCTGGAGCACAGTTGCACCAAAACATATTCTGCAGATTAATGCACGTGGCTCCATTTTGGCACGGTAAACTAGCACACTCATCTATGTCTATAAAGAATTGACAAGAACTTTATAACCAATCGACCAAATTGTTGTAGATACTTTATCAAACCAGTCTGTTATTTGAATCAGAGTTTAAGATAGGCCTACTTATATTAATGAGCAACATATAATGGAATATGTTAATCATGTATCTAAATCAGTAGGAGGTTAATTCTGTACTGATGTCTGTGAATTTTTTACATTTAATAAATCATATAGTTGAGTGATTTTCGTATAGGTGTAATTTTGCCCTACCTGATGTGGAAATTTAATGAATACTCTGTACGTTTGAAAACAATTGCGAAAAATCGCAAGTTGTTCTTGGGTGGGACTCGAACCCACGATCTCCAAAATGATTCTCGTTAAATGATTCCGGTTTTCATTCACTGTCATTTGAACAATGTTCGATCGAATATAAATTGATTAAATTGATTGATTGATTGATTGACAAACATGAAAACTCACCAATCTCACACCTATTGCCAGTAAATCCTGGGACACATGTACACTTATACCCTCCTGTCGTCTGCTCACAAGTTCCACCATTTTTACACGGGCTTGATCGGCACTCATCTACATCTACATTTAAAAGGTAGTGAATATTTAGCCGGTAGAACGTTTATTACGGTATGTTTACACCGTATTTTTGTTGTAATTAGTGAGGGCATACTCCACCCTAAACTTAAGGAGGTTAATTCGAGATAGCCCCTAAAATACACGTTTTAAAATATGTAAAGCATTAAAAACTTTATTGTGCATTGTATTTCCGTTTTTATAAGTACCGGTATATAATTTCTCAAAATGTAGTATACGTACCAATTTCACACAATTTGCCTGTATATCCGTTTTTGCAAATACATTTGAAGTCGTTAACCAGATCAACACAGCCGCCTCCATTCACACATCGGTTTGGTGAACAATCATCAATGTCTAGAAGTAAATAATACATGGTTATACTGTATCCTTGATATATACATAGTAAGCTATATATTTGTACGATACAAAGTGACAAAGCATTATAAAGTAATAGGCCTATTCCTGATACAGTAGTATTATACATTTATATAGGCTACCTTAAAATAAAAATTTTAAATCTGTATTATAGCATTTTATAGTAAGCGGTGTCATGGTAGAAGCGTCCTCGTCGCGGCCCTGGTTAACGTCAATTCTACCACCAGCACACAGTGGACACGATAAGAAGAAGAGTACGTAATATAATTTTATATATCACTAATAGAGGTACTTATATCTTCATAAGCAATGTTAATGTTTAGTCACGTGACTCACCTATTTCACAGTGTAAACCAGTGTATCCAGCCTTACAATAGCAGGTATAATACCCAATACGATTGTCACACATGGCTCCGTTCAGACAGGGATAAGATGCACATTCGTTGATATCTAGAGAATAAGAAATCAGAGTTTTTGAAATAATAGCGAAGGTTGCGTGTTCGCTGAACCATTGAGATCAAGTGTCCCAGTCCCTATTCCATCAAGCCTTAAAAGGCAAAATACTGAAAAACAACAATGCTGTGGGAAATGATGACTGGATATGTATTTATATATATACTGTATACATATAAATATATATATATATATATATATATATATACTCATATAAAGCAAAATGCCACATTTTAATACAGCCTATGCCTCCTATTGTGACCGATTTCTATTTGAAGTATTGAATTTATGTATATAATATATATAGTATATAATAATATATCGTCTTGTGATTTTTTATGTGGAAATAAAGTTTACCTAAATGGATCGAATTATAATCATAATGCTTACCGTGTTCACATATCATTCCTTCATATCCTGGAGGACAATTACACGTGAAGCCATTAAGTCCATCAATACACGTCCCACCGTTCATACATGAGGTATCGGTGCAATCGTTCGTATCTATAAAGACATACAAAAGGATTCGACATTATAGGGCCTACGTTTAATTGCTAATAATAATAATCATAAAGTTTGAGGATGGAATACGCCCTCAGCAACCATTAGAAATTGCTGTGTAAACGAATAGAAGCCTGCTGTCGGCTAAATAATCACTGTCAAAGTATATAATATAGATCCATGCATTAACAGCACACTAAACGAAAGTGTATACTGTACTGTACTTACTTATGTCACAGTTTCGGCCTTCGTAACCTACTGAACATGCGCAGTAGTAATCTCCTACTCCATCAATACATATTCCATTTACGCAAGGATCTGGTGAACAGTCGTTCTCATCTAAACGTTGTAAAGAAATTGGTGTAAATAATACGTATATATAAATAAATATAATAATTTGAATTTGATATATTATTTTGTGTAAAGATAATATACAAAATGATGGCGATGGCGATGATGATGATGATGATGATGATGATGATGATGATGAAGATGATGATGATGATGAAGATGATGATGATGATGATGATGATGATGATGATGATGATGATGATGATGATGGAAGATACAAGAGGTGGCTGTAGTGGTGGTAATGATAAGAATGATAATTATGATGATTATTATAATTATTGTGATGACTTTGATGCCAATGGGGATGATAATGATGATGTAAAATGTGAAGATATGGTATTAAGATGGGATCATGGTGATGATGACGATGTTTATGAGGATGTTGATGATGAAGATGAAATTATTGTGATGACGATGATGATGATAATGATGCAAGACGTAACTGATGATGATGATGCCATTCGTATAGGCTCCTATACCTACTTAAAACTTCTAACACTCTGCCTAATTTTAAAATCAATTATATAAAAAGCGGTAGTAATACTCACTGATTTGGCAGACGTCCCCGCGGTATCCTGTGCTGCAGTCGCATGTATAACCGTTAATACCATCGACACAGCTACCTTCCACGCACGGGTTAGGTGAGCACTCGTCGATGTCTGTCAACGGGAGGAAATAATAATAATGAATAATAATAACAATAATAATAATAAATATTATTAATAATACTAATTTTTATAATCATTATCATTTTTTATTGTTGTTTTCATAATCATTATAATCATCATCATCATCATCATCATAATATGTAACATATTATATAGGCCTGTATATATTACATATATATTATAAATATACACATATATATATATATATATATATATATATATATATATATATATATTCTCTTATACACATTATGTATGTATACCGGTATATGTATATATGTATATATAATATTCTTGCTTTTTTCTACATTAGTAGTTACCTATATTAATTAAGGACACACGTAAATGTGTTAGTTGGTAATGAAAACCACTAATTAGTCTGAATAATAATTGATCGTACCTATTTCGCAATGCTGCCCTGTGTACCCAGGCTCGCACCAGCACCAGTAATCATTAATCAGATCTTGGCATCGGCCGTTGTTCTTGCAGGGTTGTGGAATACAATCATCGATATCTATAAGAGAACAGGCATTTCGTTGAACACCGATTACTTACTGGTTGTGTAACCTAATTGCTTCAATTTGTGTCATATTATAGTCATGATGTGCCTATATATGGTCATGATGTGATGTCATCATGACCATATTTAGGCATGTCACATGGTTTTTTTTCAAAAAAATTTGATAGTCTGGGGAGGGCTTAAACTTAAAAAATGTTAATAATATAAATAAATATAAATTTTTGTTTTCCTTATTTTTTTAAAATTAAATTATTGTAATATCTTCAACCAGAGCTATGATATGGAACGCCAAAAAGACAAACCACAACGAAGTTTGGATTGGATTGGAAGTGGACATACATACGTGTGATAACTCCACTTTTGCTCTGCCCCACCTCACTGTTGCACCATGTCCACTTGTGTATTGTCCTTTTGGCGTTTCATAATAATAACGCTAACCAATTACAGTACTACTTTACTTACTTTCTTCGCAGAACAGTCCAGAATAACCTTCTGCACATAAACACACATAGCCGTTAACGAAATCTTTACATGTTGCTCCGTTTTGGCATTTATTCCCAATGCATTCATCTATGTCTGTATAGGTATGAGGGAAATATTGTTGAGATGTAAGCAATTATAAAACTAAAAGTCATAAAATTATATAAAGTTATAAAATTCAAACGCGAACAACGCTGTAAGTCGCTTGCTTCTGCATTGCATCACTGCGTTTTAATTGCACAAGTGTGAAGCGAGCCTTGTATCACCGGTGGCGCCAGAAATTTGCCGACAAGGGGTTAGACCCATGGTAAGACCACGATTGGCAATCAAAATAACGTTATTTTGATAGGAAAATTATTATTTGTTTAAATTTTTGGTTCGACGACAGGGGGTACAGGCCTGTCCGATGGGGTGGGGATGCTCTACCCGCTGGCTCGACCACTGCCTAGTGTACCGTAGTAAGGCTGATATTTCCAAAATAGATGCGAAGTTTATCTTTCGGACTTGCTGAGTTAGGTAGAATAGTTAAAATATCACACGAAGCTCCCGATGGTAAGTAAGCGTTTACTAGGTCAGAACCTAACGTGTTAATTCATGACTTTTATAAAGTTAGTTTCTTCTAAATGTCAACTCATACCCCGTATACCTAACATAGGCAATAACATTTACAAGGCGCTTTTTATCATCAAACAATGTAGGCCTATTATACAATACCGTAAAACCTCGAATTGAAGCCCAGTGGGCTTAATCTCAAAATGAAGCAGATTTCGAATTGAAGCCCCCCCCCCCCGCTCTTTAGTTTCCAAAATTAGCCTCGAAAAGGAGCCCATCTTAAAAAGAAGCCCACGGGCTTTTTTAGATAGCATCGGCTTCTTTTCGAGATAGTACAGATATACACTGTACATGGATTTCAAAAAACAAAACAAATTAAAAATGTTATACAGTAATTTAGGTGATTTAAGTAATTTTTCAGTTAAATACACTCCATGATACAGATTTTATTGTTTTATAGTACAAATTCGCAAAATTTACAGTACTCATTTTGAAAAGAAGCCCCCTCCCCCTCTTTATTTTGCAAGAGTAGTCTCGAAAAGAAGCCCATCTCGAAATAAAGCCTATCTCGAAAAGAATCCCATCTATAGTTCGCAAAAACAGAAAAAAAAAGAAGCCCAGGGCTTCAATTCGAAGTTTTACGGTATGTCAATGGTGTAACTTTAGGCCTCAAGGGAAACTGTCGAAAAAAAATTGTAAGCCTACTTACCATTCTCACAATTCCTACCACTGTATCCAGGGGGACAGACGCAAATATAGTCTGATATTTTATCTACACACGCTCCGCCATTTTGACATTGATTTGGCACACAGTCATCTGTGTCTACAATAGAAGAGTAGTCATTATCATTATCATCGTAATTATTCATCGTCATAATCACTTCCATCAGCATCACAGCCACCACCACCACCATAATCATCATAATCACCATTTATTATTATTATAATTATTACTATATTATTATTATTATTGCTGTTTTTACTGTAATATTTATTATTATATGTAACATTATCATTTATAGTTATCGCTTATAGTTAATATTAATATTATTATTATTTATATTATTGTTAAATATTATTACTATTATTATTATTACTATTAGTATTATTATTATTATTATTATTTTAATTTTTATTATTATTATTATTATTGTTATTATTATTGTTATTATTAGGTCCTTCTCATATTAAATGCTTGCGGTACACCACATACCACAAGCATTTAATTATATTATTATATTATTGTTAAATATTATTACTATTATTATTATTATTATTATTATTGGTATCATTATTATTATTATTATTATTTTTATTATTATTATTATTATTATTAGGTCCTTATCATATTAAATGCTTGCGGTACACAAGCATTTAATTATATTACTACTTCCTCATATAAACCGTCAAACAACCTATTATTATTGTCACCAGTCGTAAATTTTATAATCCATAGAAATTTACTTACTTATTTCGCATCTCTCGCCTTCAAAACCGCCAGGACAGATACATTCAAACGCGTTAGTTCTGTCCCGACACACGGCGCCATTTTCACATGGATTTGAAGCGCATTCATCTGTAAGATATAAAATTTAATAAAGAACGTAGTACATACTAGAAAGTGGCAAGCTGTCAATCAATTACAGTACTCTTTAAAATGAGTTATAAACTTGTTCGTGTTAATACTGAGACAATTTAAGCCATAACGATATTAAGACAATGTGTCAGGAAAGGCACTATTAAAAGAAATGAATGAATTCAAGAAAGAAAGTACTTTGGATTTTATAATTGCGTATTTTGTAGGTTAGGTAAGTACGGTACGTTGTAAGATTTCAATTACAATGAGAAAAATGTTCACCCCTATTAACAGAAACCTGCATAACACCAGCATAACGGCAGCATAACACCAGCATAACACCAACATAACGCCAGCATAACACCATTTTATATTGTTGCATAGACCCTTAAACTGATTCATAATTTACCGTATTTAAGGATACGGTATTTGTTATAAATTGTCTGTATGTAAATTGCAAATGCATTAGGTATAGCCTTTTTTAAGAGTGAATTTAAAGTGCCCCGTATATGTAGGCACTCTTTTTTGATTTAAAATTCACTTCTTTTTTTTTCTTTTTTTTTGCATTTAGGGTGTATCGACTATGAACAGCCAATCAACAAAGACAGTTATGACATAAGATTGTGTGAGAAAATTTAAGAATTAAGAAATTATTTAGCCTACCGATTGGATGAGAGCATCTAAATCGAACACGGTAATCGAGACACGTATCTCCATGTTTCTGCTCGGCGTTTCGGCAAATCAAGCCGATTGATGCCTCGCATTTCACGACTTGGCCCGTAGCCGTGTACGGAACTCCCGACGTAGTCTGACATTCGATTCCAAATGGAAAGTCACACAGCAAATAGGGATTTTCCTGCATGAAAGTATAATGATGAAAGAATAAATATGTGATTTCGGATTTCGTTATTAAAACAAAAATCACCGAATTAGATAGACTATTTGGTATTTTGTAGGTATGCTAAACATTATAAAAAAGATTTTGCAGCATTACCCGTTTAAGATCTTCTAACGTTTCGATGTCTCCTTCGCCCAAAGGACTGTCGCGGTTAAACCAACCAGTGAGATGTTCTGAAATAAAACCCAGCTCAAGTACAGTCAAATGATTTAGAATGATCATGTAAAATACAGATAATGGGTAAAATTAATTTTAATTATTTAGATAAATTACACTTACTTGTATGGCTATATTGGCCTATATGTTTTTTGTACTTTGAATTGGGTAGGCCTAAATGCATACATTATTTGAAAGTCCGATTTTGATTTTCTTTAAATGAATAGGCCTAGACATAAATCAGAGCTGGTTTTTTTATCTTACCTTGTTCGATCGGTGCATAGGTAGTATACTGCGTAGAGCTCACTACAGCAAATATTGCACAAAAACAAATATGAGAGTATTTAGAAAACATCTTTTTAAGCTGTTTTCTTTTTTACAAACGGTCCAGCACAAGAAAGAAAAACTTTCGTTTGATATGGATCTCAGGTCCCAATGTCTTCTTATATACACACACTCAAAGGCCTTGGCCTTGTCCTAAATAACGACACGGTGCGATCCACTGATGTCTTAAACCTCGCCAAGGAATGTTTCTTCCGAGAATCGCGAAGGGCAGGAAAGTAACCAGAGAGTATACGGTTTGAACCAATCAGGAGAGGGTTTCTAAACACATGCTTAGATCTCCATGCTTAGATTTAAGAATGGAAAGAGTTCCCACTAATCTCGTACCGTATTATGTGGTTCGATGATTATGATTTTGAAATTAGGCTGAAGTCATAATGTGGATCAAAATTATGAATATTATGATTATACCTATAGTAATATAGGCCAGGTCTACTTAGGCCTACTATTTCCTGTTTTTTATCCAGGTTTGGCTAACATCCGCGCACACGAATTGAGTGGACTTAGCCAACAATAGTTACGTCATCGTTTAAGTCACGCCTACTCCTCAATTCCACCGTGTCATACTCAATGAATACTATACTGTATATTAATACTGATTATAATTGCTATTTTTGGTGATCCGCTAACGTTAGCGGATCACCTATTGTTATTGTCAGGATCTTTTTTTTCTTTTTATTCTTCTTTCTTTCTCCCCTTTTCTGTTCGCACGATATCTCAAAAACTGCCACGAGTTACC